GTACTTCCACACTGCTTGTTCTGACCTACCCTTCAATTCTTTTGTTGTTTTTTTGTTTGTTTTTACATCCTTAATATAGTTTTACCCCCTTCCCTCCTCCCAATCCCTCCAACCTCCTTCTCTTCCCACATACATTCCTCCTGTTTCTCTTGGAGAGCCAACAGCTTCAGCTAGTTCCTGTTCTGTTATGTTCATTAGGAACAAGCTTGCTACCCCCTGGGGGACTGTCTTGGCTGAGAAATAGTCTCCACCATGGAATCCCTGCATGTGTGAATAGATGATTCACCCTTCCACAGAACATGTTTAAATAAGGGGTTTCAATCAAAAGAAAGACTTGATGCTGGAAATTTTAGGGTTTTTATGGCAGGGGAAAAAAGGAAGGGGATTTTTTTTGAAGTTTTTACCTCTAAGGTTTTTTTTCTTTTTTTTTTGTTGGCTAGGGATCCTGGCACTTTGGTCACCTGGAATTTTTTGCCTTTCAGGACAGAGCAATAAAGAGTTTGGCCTTATTTGTTTCTTTGTTTGTTTTAGGCCATACACACAACATTTTTGAAACAAAATCCCCAATGTTATGGACAATTCTCCATTAATGTGCTATACATGTGCTTCAATCTCCTCTTTAAAAATGAAAAAGAAAACATTGGGTCTGGAGAGAAGGTGGCTCAGCAGTTAAAGAGCAGCATTTACTGCTCTTGCAAAGGACCCAGATTCAGTATCAGCCACCCACAGCACAGCTTCCACCCACCTGTAATTCCAATGTCAATGGATTGGAAGTCATCTTTTGATCTCTAAAGGCTCCTATATGCATGTGACACACATCCATTCACATAGGCACAGACTCATACTCATAAAATAAATAAATATATCTTAAAATGACTGTCTTTTCTTCATTGTCTTCTTTCCATGTAGCACAAAGTATTTAACAAGAAGATTTTTTTTGAATAAAACAACAGTGAAGAAGAGAATTATTCCAAGGTCAGTATTTACTAAACACAATTTCATTCTGCCTCTCCCAAAACAATATTAGAATACAAGATAGGGGCACATTTGCTTCACAAATTGAACATTTCTCCCAATCCAGGGCTGGGAGTAAGGTGAGCATCCCTGGTAACATTTATTGAAAATGATCTTTGTTTCTGAATGCAATTTGTTTTGATTTCTGTAGGCAATGCTCTTCTTATAAAAGTAGGTGCAGCTTCACAACCCAAGGAAGAGAAAGTATAGGGACCAACATCAAAGTCACCTGCATGAAAATGAAAACAAAGAACATTTAAGGCAGGTACATGAAGGATTTTGCACAAGACACATATGAAACTATCATAGAATGATGCCATGAATAAGTAGGAAAGAAGAGAAGGTTGTGAGAAATATACTGCTAACATAATAGGGGGGAGTTGAACTAATTCTGACAGCACTGGCTAGGCCACAGGTACCTATGCACTTCCTACTTGTGAATTAAAGTTAGTATGACTGACTTTGTTCTTAAACCTAGAGGAGGCTATTCTTCAGCAAAGCTTGGAGGAGTCCATGAACAGGTGCATTCCCTATAGATCTGACAGAACTGTTCTGAATGTTTCTCACATTTGAAAGTACCTGGTAGGGCAGAAGGCATGGTTTTCCATTGTGCTTAGTGGATGAAATTGTGCTTGTCACAAGTTTGATGGCAGGATCTAGATTTGAGTTTTAGAACCTGTGGCTGTTTTCCTGCTTTGCTGGCAGAGTTACAGTCATAATCTATGAGCACATTGAAACAGGCCTTAGGCCTCTTGCTTCTCCAAGACTATTGCTTTGTACAAGAGTGTTGAGATTGTCTGACATGTATTTGATACTGTTTCCTCCAAAGGAAAATAAATGTACATTTGGGATACATATTGTTAATGAATTAAGATATACCTGGGACAGTAAGGATGGATATCCTTTTGCAAAACTAACATTTCCCAATCAGCCCCAACTATTAGTTACTAAGGAGATTCCACAACTCAGGCATTCTTTATAATGGCAATCCAAAGCCTCCAAGAAGAGCAATAAAGATCAGAAGTTAGCTGGCCAGAGTGTGATGGGTGCCACTGGCTAGGGAAACACTGTTTAATGGATACCACTAACTTTCCCATTAGACACAGAGCAAAGGATCACTAGTCTACAATCCACACTGCCAGGGGAACTAGGAAACAAGGAAGACCCCAACAGAAGATTGCATAATCCCTCAAAGAAGGGGATGGGACAAGAACCCCTGACCATAGTGGGAGCCCGGGGGAGGGAGAGGAAGGAGAGCCTTCATCTTGTTGCTGATTGAAGCAGAAACAGACACCCACAGCTAAGCACTGAACCATACTACTGAAATTCAGTTGTGGAGAGGGAGGAGGGATGAACAAAGGAGCCCAGACGGGGCTGGAGAAACCTGCAGAAACAGTGGACCTGACCAACTTACTGATAGATAGCATGAAGACCCTTGGCATACAGCTGGGGAAACAGCATTGGACCAAAACAAGCCCTCTGAATGTGGGTGCCAGCTAGAAGACCTATACAGTCTATGGGACCTCTAACAGTGGAGCCAGTCTTTATCCTTAGAGCACAATGGACTTTGGGAGCCCATTCCCGGGATTGGTGGGGAACATGGGAGGGTGAGGGGGATGGGGGATGGATATGTAAATATGAATAGTAATTAAAGAATTAAAAAAA